GTTGCCGGCTTTGCCAGATGCGTCACGGCGCGGGCTGCGAACTCCGAAGAGCGGGGCTCCTCGGGACCCTTGGCCCGGGCCTCGTCGCCTCGCGCGTCGTGGCGCGTGCGCGCGTCCGCGGGGCGCTCGCGCGCGGGCGCGCCTGGTCGCGCCGGTCGCTGACGCCCTTCTTGCCCCCGCCCTTGGCGATCGACGCCTGGCGGTCCGACTGCTCGACTCTCGCCTGGGGCGGGCAGCCCAATGCGCGTTGCCCGCGCGGCCCCGCCCGAACCGCTTCGCACCTTGGCGGCGCGCAGGATGTCCCGCGACAACACGGTGAACGCGGTCGTCGAGGCTTCATCGCCGTGCTCCAAATATTTCGCCACCTTCTGGCGGAGCAGCAAATCGCACGCATGTGATACCTGCACGCGGCGCGGCCCCGCCCGCGCAGCTTCGGGCAGCGGCCCAGCCGCTTCGCGCCTAGCCTTGACGCCCCCGTGCTCTTCACTCACGCGCGCGAGCTGATACATGTATCCCAGCAGCACGACGGAATCAAACACCTTGGACAATATGCAGCGAAACCCCCACTCCATCACGTGGGCCTCGCGCGACTGGGCCCGCGCGGGCGCTCGCGTCCCGCCGCTGCGCGCGCGGCCTGGAAGTGCGCGTAACCGAGAAAATCCATTCGGTCCAGGGATGTCCCCGCGCGGTTAGCCGCGGTGATGGCCGACGCGCGATCGCGCCACGAGCCTGGCCCCGCCGGCGCCGAATCCAGCCTCGGCGTCCGCGCCCATCGGGGCTTGCAGTGGTCCTGCGCGTGGAACGGAGACATCGGAGCGGGGATCGGCCGCGACGCGCGGCGCCAAGCCAGGGCGCCTGCAGGCTCTCGCCCTCGGCGCTCCCGATATACGAGCGGCCATTCGTCTGGGCCGTTCGACCCGCAGACGCGAACTTGCGCATCGACTCTTCCGTCGGCAACCCTTCGCGGGGGGAGTTTCCGAGCCAGACCTCGCGCGCGCGGTCCTGCGGAAGCGCCCCCCCCCTTTCCTCGGCGGCCCCCGCGCGTGCGGCACGCGCTGCTCCTCCATGGCGAACGCCAAGGGCTTCTCTTTCTTGTCTTCCAGCATATCCTTGCTGGCCCTCACGTAATCTTCCATGGCTGCCGCGATGCGCGCCGTTTCCTCCGCGGGCTTGGCGGGCGCCTCCGCCGGGGCCGATTGCCCGCCCTGGCGCCGCGTCGCGCGCCGACCCGCGCCCGCGCGCGCGGTCGGGGCGGGGGCCTGTGGCCCGAAGGTCGAGCACGCCTTCGACTGCGCCCGCGACGCCATATTGACGTGGCACGGCTTGATGGCGAAATCGCGCCACTCCGCGGGTCTGTCTTCCGCGAACGGCTTCGCGCCCGGCTTGCGGGCCGCAATCAACATCTCGCGCGCGGATGCGTCCGAGGAGTCAATCGGGCGGACCGCCCCGACCGCTTCGGCCATGAGGCGCGCGACCGCGGTGCACAGGAACAGCGGTGCCTCTTCCCCGTCCACCGCGTTGGTCTCGGCGACGAAGAGGACCCAATCGGCCTTGCGCGCAGCGCAGGCAGGGGGGCCCCGCGCGGGATTTCGCACGCGAGCCCTGATGGCGGTCTTGTCGGCGCCGAAAGCGCCAGCAGGCAAACCGCCAATCAACTCGACGATTTTCTCGCGAGGCAGCGCCGTGGTCGCTTGGCGCGCGTTGGGGCGCGTCGCGCACGAGCTAATCGGCTTCCCTCGCGCGCGCTGGCAAGAGCCAGCATGCGGCACTTCGCGGGCATGCTGCAGATTGGGGGCCAGCAGACGGCGCGCGCACGCAGGCATATTGCCGCATTCGCAAGCATACTGCGCCATCGGGAAGGGCCGGCATACGGCAAGTCGCAAATATTCTGCAGACTGGGGGGTGGCCGGCATACGGCGCGCACGCGCAGGCATCTTGCCGCATTCGCAGGCGCACTGCGCAGTGGGGAGGGGCCGGCATACGGCACGTCGCAAGCACATTGCAGACTAGGGGCCGGCATACGGCACGCACGCGCAAGTATATTGCCACGCTCGCAGGCATACTGCGCCATGGGGAAAGTCCGGCATACGGCCCGTCGCAGACGTGCTGCAGACTGGGGGGGGGGCCGGCATGCGGCACACACACGCAGGCAGACTGCCGCATTCGCAGGCATATTCCTGCCGACGCGACGCGCGACGGCAAGGAGGGGGGGGGGGGGCGACATGGCACCGCGAATGCGGGACGGCCAGGCGAATCCCGAATCGCGAAAGCCTGCGCCGCGGACGCGCCTGCGGGCGCGCAGGAGGGGGATTCGCCTCAGCCAACGCTGGCCGTCCCGCAGCATCGGATGAGCAAGAAGAGTAGCATGACAAGGGCCGAACGCACCGCCGCGACTTCTCCCCGCGCCCAAAGAGCTGCCCAGGGCGCCCATGCAAATGTGAGTGCGGTGTCGAGCAACTCTCTGGCACCTGAAGCTACCCCCGCGGGCGGGGGCACTGACAGTTTGGGGTCCGCGAATTGCCTGGACACAGTCCGAGCATGCCTGGGATGGGTCGTGCATCAACCCTTGCAAATATCTGATGTTGTCTTTGATGGGGCACTGGCTGTGCATGCTCCCGGTCGCTGGTTCTGCCAGGGCGATGGAGGGGAAGTGCGCGACGCGATGATGCTGAAGGCGGTGATGTTGAAAGTGGTTGACCGAAGTCGAAGGCGTGGTCCTTGAAAATGCCGAACTGGTTGAGGTTGACTGAAGCGATGAGAAAGAGATGCTGGCGCAGCCGACGCATGTCGAAGCATGGCGGCCGTGGTGGGGGCAGGGGCGAACGTGCTCCGCTACCCACTAGAGAAATGCATGTCGAAATGGGCGTGAAAGATTAGTTTTTTCTGGAGGCGGATGCTACCAACTTAGCGGAAAGATACCTCACGGCGCGTCTACTGCGGGCTCGGGAGGATATCCTCCTGGTCCGAGAGCATAAATGGCAGCGGTCAGATTGGGTGAGAAGCGAGCAAAACAAGAGGACCGACCGTTCGAGTCCGAAGACGAGGAGGAGAAGGACCAGTGTAAACCCAAGAGTCATCAACGATGTTGGAATTAACCCTCCCTCCAAGCTCCCTCTTCATAGGCCCTTACAGCGGTTCATTTCCATTGAAGGAGCTGCCTCGTTGGAATACAACCGTTTGAAGACCCTGAAACATGCCACAACATTGTTCCTGGGACTTCAACGCCACGTGTCAGTCTGACTGGTGCGTTCCGACGATCCGGAACCGTGCCATAACGCGATTTTTCCCTACCTAGGCTCTGCCTAGAAGGGTTCTTACTCTGTTAGCTTAAGGGGCCGGGCAGTGCAACACGCCCCGGGTGGTTCCCCCAGTCCCCGCCCCGCGGTTCCCCCAGTTGCGTCCCCTGGGTTCACCCAGCTTAGCTTAGCTTATCTTATCGCATCTTAGCTTAGCTTAGCTTAGCTTTGTCTAGCCTAGCTCGGTTTAACTTAGCTTAGCTTAGCTTAGCTTATCTCATCTTAGCTTAGCTTAGCTTGGTTTGGCTTGGTTTAGCTTAGCTTAGCCTAATTTAGATCAGCTTAGCTTAGCTTAGTTTCGCTTACATTAGCTTAGCTTAGCCCAGCATAGCTTAGCGCAGCATTAGCACAGCCTAGCATAGCAGATCATGACCAAGCATAGCATATCATAGCGTAGCACTAGCTCATAATAACAAATCATATCATAGCATAGCATATCATAGCGCAGCATATCATAGCATATCATAGCATAGCAATGCTTAACATAGCACGGTATATCATAGCATAGCATAGCGCAGCATAGCATAGCATAGCATAGCAGAACATCGCACAGCGCAGCATCGCATATCATAGCATAGCCTAGCATAGCATAGCGCAGCATAGCATGGCATAACAAAGCGCAGCATAGCATATCGCAACATAGCGCAGCATATCATAGCCTGCTATGCTAGCATAGCCTCTTATGCTCCTAGGAAAGTGCATATGTAGATGTAGGTGTAGGTGTAGATGTGGATGCAGCTGTAGGTGTAGGTGTAGATGTAGATGTAGATGTAGATGTGAGTCTCGCTGTTGATGTAGATGTAGGTGTAGATGCAGGTGTAGATGTAAATGTTGATGTTGCTTTCCTAAATGCTCCAACTCCTAGGTAGGGTCGCACTGGGATAATTTGAATCTCGACACCGCGAATAATCAGTATAATTGTGGCACCCGGATAATCCAGAATCCTTCCAAAACGCCATTTCTGGTACGTTGATCATGGGCATTTGAAAAACTCTTGCCAAATATTAAAACGAATGTGCGCAGCGCAAGGCGAGAACCACATCTTGAAAAGGAACCGCCCTCAAACCACCCGCCCTCCAATCCGTGAAGCTCTTGCAAATTTTGAAAGCGAATGTGCGCGGCGCTGAGGCGAGAGCCACATAAAAAAAACCACCCGCCCTCAATCCGTGAAACTCGTGCAAATTTTGAAAGCGAATGCGCGCGGCGCTAAGGCGAGAGCCGCATTTTGAAAACCACCCGCCCTCCATCTGTGAAGCTTCTGTCAATTTTGAAATTTCAGAGTCGTATATTGTGAGGAAGTCTCAGGCGACATGCCCGGCCCGCCCTAACAACTGGCCTCGGGGTGCGACAGGGAGAAGTTATCTACAAGGAGAAGGAATGGAGGAGGAGGAGGAGGAGGAGGAGGAGGAAGAGGAGGAGGAGCAGGACAAGGAGGAGCGAGCGAGCGAGTGAGCGAGAGAGCGAGCGAAAGCCGAGACGCGGTTGGGTCAAGCGTCCGCTAAGGCGGAACGGAGGGGCTTGCAAGTGCGCCAGCCTCAGGAGCCAACCCCAGAAGGAGGAGGAGGAGGAGGAGGAGGAGGAGGAGGAAAAGGAGGAGGAGGCGGAGGGTGGGAAGGTCTCCAGAGGTCAGAAGGTCCCAGCGCGAGACAAGACGGACGCTGGCGCCGCTGCTCATGCGCAGGCGGCGCTGCCGGACGCGCGCCGCTAGGCCCAGAGGCGGGAGCCCTCCAGGAGCCTCTCCAGCCACGGTTCGGGGTCCAGCGAGGGCAGCCGCATCCCCAAAGGCTTCTCCTTCGCCTGCTGCGCCCCGCCCAGCTGCAGCCTCCGATAGACAAGCGCTTTCCACGACTCACAAAATAACTACTCGCAAACCGCGGAGGATTTACGATCCATTACGTCGAGGCGCGCACATGTTTTTTGTTGTTCGGACGTTTTGCGAGTAGACACTTGCGAGTAGTGGAACGCGCTCGGTGGTACAATGCGAGACTGTGTCATCATAGGCTTAGCTCAGGCTGCGTTTCAGGATTCCAAGCGTATCTGGCGGTCCTCGTTTCTGGAGCCCGATTGGAATCTGTGGGAGTGTTGGCGATCCTGGGGGCCCAGGAAATCCTGGAACGTACGTATCATGATCATGACCTCTTGCTCCTATCAGCCTTGGGGCCGCCGCCGCGCCGCCGCGCGCCCCTGGCTGCACCGCCGACGCGGCGGTGACCGCGTGGAGCCCCGCGGCCACCACGCCGCGCGCCGCGCTGCCGATGGGCAGGTCCAGCGCTTCGCGGCGGAGCTCCGCGGCCTGCCGGGCGGCCTGGTACCTCAGCATGGCCTGCTTCACTGCCTCGAGGAGCGAAAAGGGTACAACCAGACGGTCAGAATCGATAGCCAGGACGCGAGCCCCTGGGACGCCTGTGTCGAGGCTCTTCGAGCGGGGCTGGCCATCGAGAGTCATTAAGCACGGGCCGAGGAGACAAGGACGCAAGGGAACCCTTGAGAAGGCTACCCACCCCTAGCATCGATTTCGGCGGTCGGCCCTGCGAACTGCGCGCGGGCTTCCTGGATCGGCGCCGGACCCCTCCCCCCTGGCGCTCCGTTGCCGCCCCATGGCACGCTCCGTGGGCCAGGGGGGGAGGTCCGGCGCCGAGCCGGGCACTCCGCGCAGAGCTCTGAGCGTCTGTGTCTGCGCAGCTTTTTCTGGGCCGGCTGCCTTCACCACGTACGGGGTCTCCGACTCGGCCTCGGTCTTCGCTTCCTTGTCCTGGTCCTTGTCCCTCGCGCCACGAGCGGCCGCCGACGCGGAGGCACCATCCGCAGGATCCTTTGCCTTTTCCCTGTTCTTCGGCGGCGGGAGTGGCTCTTCCTCGGCTGCTACCTGGGCCTTGACCTCAAGAACGGTCTGGGACCATTGCCGCACCTGTCTGAAGCGCTTCCACAATTCCTCGGCGTCTCTTCGTGGCTTCCCGTGGTTCGCGAGCTCCATCAATACATCATCAACGGTGACGGCCTTCCCCCCAGTCTCCATCTGCTGTGGTCGGAAATCGTCTACTTCTGCCATATCAAGTTCATGCAACTGCTCGGGCGATAAACCGGTCAACGGCCTTAGGTCGTACACGTCATCATCGCCCGCATCTTCCTTGAATGCTGTCTTTTCTTCAACCTTGCACTCAAAGAACTTCGGCCGAAAATCGACCTCCAGCTTCAAGCTCCCACGACAATTTAGTCGCAAAGTTCTGTTGATTTCCACCGGCTCCACGCCCCACACAGCTTGCCGGAGATGCCGATACCGCACCACCACGCAGCCAAGCGGCAAGTGACACTTAGGTGCAAGAGGGGGGGCCACGTTGCAGCCACTTCGCTGCAAAAGCGCGCGGAGGTTGTTGACCTCCAACCAACGGCGCTGCTCAAGAGGGAGAAAGTCCCTCTCGCTCTCGGTGGCGGTCTTCAAGTCACTCGTCGGCTCTGCGTCTCTTCTCTGGGCCAAGGCGAGCTTGCGCAGCTTCTGCACTTCCTCATCCTGGTCTTTATCGGCCTGCCTCATCATCCTTCCGAAGGATTCCTGGAGCGATGTGCCGAAGCCAGCCCTCTTTCGCACGCGCTGCTTCCCTGTGATCCTCTCGTTCATCCTGATGCGGTGGAGTTCCTGCTCGTCCAAGCCCAGGGTGGCACTGTCAACCACGTCCTCGGCCGTGGTGCCTGGCGCTGCCATCACCCACGCGACCAAGCACGCCGAACTGTCCAGCTTTTCTGTGTCGAACCGGAAGACCTCGTGCCACTCTGGGTGCGAGTCGTTCATGGAGCAGGATGAGAAGGCGACCTGTGGCGCCGAGCCGTCCTGCGTACAGAAAATGCAGCACACGTAGACATTCAGCTCCCCGACCTTGCCCTCCAAGTAGAGGTCCTCAGCGCGAATCACGGAGACTTTGAAGTGCCCCTCTGCGGAGATGCATCCAGACGGCTTGACGCCAACATCCAGCATCGCATCTGCCAAGATGTCCTTCGTGACCTGCGCAGCCTCGACGGAATCCTGGCGCCTCGCACATATCTGGGTCGCGGTGTCGCCGTCCCAGTTCCGTACGTCGAGGCGTGCCCCAGAGTCCACGAGCACGCGAGCGACCTCGTCCGAGCCCCTCGCGGCAGCGTGCATCAGGGGCGTCCAGCCGCGGTCATCTGTGGCATTCGGGTCCAAGCCCAGGTCGATCAAGCAGCTCGCTGCCAACGCCTCGTCCTCCACCGCGGCCCAGTGAAGTGCCGTGAAGCCGTCGAAATCCTTGGTGGCGGTGCTGGCGCCAGCAAGCATCAGCGACGGCAGCAGCTGCCAGTGGCCCTCCTGGGCCGCGATGCTCAGTGCGGTGAGCCCGTAGCAGTCCCGCACGTTCACGTCCAGGGGTGGCAACGCCAGCACTGAATGCTTCCCATCCTTGTTTTGAACGAGCACGTTCACCAGGTCCAGGTTTCCCGACACGCACGCATGCATCAACAGCGTCTTGCCCTCCTTGTCTATCGCGTACGCATCGCACACTGGGCCCTTACCGCGGTTCTCGATAAGGAACACGACGCAGGCGATGTGGCCACCGTGTGCGGCGTAGTGGAGGGGCGTCTCCCCGCGGTTGTTCAGGAAGTCCACCCGCTCGTGGAACGAGACGTACATGCGCAGGGCCTCCAGGCGGCCCAACTCCGCGGAGAAGTGGATGGCCGTGTCGCCGTTACAGTCGCCCAGCGTGGCGGCCGCGTGGTCCATGTTCAGGAGCTGGTCGACCACCTTGTTCGAGTAGGCAGCGTCGTGGAGCTGCGCGGCGTGGTGCAAGCAATTGCGGCCCTGGGGGTCGCGGCTCCGGAGGACCGGCTTCGAGCGCTCGCCCAGCTTGGAGAGCAATCCGAAGACCTCGCCAAACATGCCTGTCTCGATCGAATAGATAACCACATTCCACCCGCGCCGGTCGAGAACGTCCAGATTCGATCGATGCTCGATGATCGCACCAAAGAGCCGCTGGTTCTGCTGGTCCATCGCCAGCATGATGGGCGTGCGCCCCTCGCAGTCGTACGCATTCACGCTGGCATCGGCTTTGAGAAGCAAATTCGCCATCGACTCGTCCTTCGCGTCCAACGCCCCATGCAGCGGCGTTCGAAAATACTCGTCCGTGGAATTCACAGAGCTGCCGGCAGCAAGCAGGAGCTCCACGGTATCGAGGTGATCGTTGCACGCGGCGTGGTGCACCGCCGTCTTCCCGTCCTTGTCCTTGTGGTGTATGTTCGCCTTCCTGTAGAGCAGGCGGCTGACTGCGTGCACCCGCCCGTACCGGGCCGCGTAGGTGAGGGGCGTACGCCTCCACTTGTCGGTCAGGTCGACCTGAAGTCTGCTCTTCGCCATGAGCCTGTCCATCACGATCAGCTCTATCCTATTGGGGTAATACCTCCAGATCGTGAAGGGGTCCATGCCGTTCGCCAGCCTGCCCTGGCCCGCTGGGAGGTCGTCCTCCTGGTCGCCCGTCTGACCAGCACCGATGCCCTTCTCCAGTCTGTTCTGGAGGCGGAACGCCTCTCTCCTGACCTTCTCGCGCTTTCTACGATCGGGCCTGGAGACGAGGTCCACAAGATATAGCTTCGGAGACGAGGCGGCCAATATGAGAGGCGTGCAACCGTGCTTGTCCTGGGCGTTCACATTTGCCGCGGCGTTTAGCAACACCTCGATGCACGCCACCTGGCCATGAAACACCGCAGCTGCCAGAGGGGTCCATCCGTCGTTGTTGGTCTTGTCGACCTTTGCCCGCAGCGTCGCGTTACCACCCAGCAGCATCTCGCACACGCTCGGCTGCCCGCGCTCGGCGGCGAGGAAGAGGGCCGTGCGGCCGTGGACGTCTGCAAAGTTCACCTTGATGTGCGGCTTGCGGGAAAGCTGCATCGCCTTCCACTTGCGTCCCGTGGCCGCCGACTGCAGCAACTGCCTCTGCTGGTCCGCGATGCGCCCCTGCGCCCTGGTTCTGGCGTCGACCTTCGCTGACGGCGCGGTGGGCTGCAACTGGGGCGCCGCCTGCCTATCCCCGTCCTCGCTGTCTTCGTCGCTGGCGCTGTGGTCGTCCTCTGGGTCGAAATGCTGCTCCCTCCCCAGGTCGACGTGGTCGTCCTTGCGGTCTCCCCCTTCGGGGGCGAGGCCGAGCAGCTCGTCGTTCTCGATGTACTCGGGACGGCACTTGTCCAGGAACCTGAGAGGAAGAGGAACCGTCGGCATTAACACAAACATTCGGAGGTCCAGCAATGATCTCTTGGATCGGCGCTGGACCCCCCTCCCCAGCACACAGAGCGCGCAATGGGCGGCGCCTGAAGCGCCGCCAGGGAGCCTCCAACGCCGAGCCAAGAAACCCGCGCGGACCTCCAACGGTTCGTGCTCATGCCGATTCGTCCCTTCCGAAGCCGCTTGGCCCGCACACGCGACTGGTTGTACTCGTTCTGCTCATCTTCCCGCCGTGCCAGCACCAGGCCCAT